ATAACACATTTGTATGTATATATTATTATATTATATTAAAATATAATTATATATGATACAAAAACTACAGACAATAAAATGCAAGGAGCTTTGACAAATGTACACACCAAAGTCAATAATACCCCAGTCTATATTTAGACTATTTCTATCACTGCAGAAAGTTTCCTTGTATAATCCATCCCTCCTATTCCTCACCAAAGCAACCACTGATCAATTTCTTTAACTGTAAATTAGTTTCACCTGTTCTAGAGAGTCATATAAATGGAAAAATGTAGTATGTTCTCTTGTGTCTGGCTCCTTTCACTTACCATCATGTTTTTGAGATTTGCCTTGTTTGCATTTATTGGTAGTTAAGTCTTTTTTTGATTGAGCAGTATTCCATTGTATAAACAGATCAGTTTATTTATCAATTTGATTGATTGGCATTTGATTTGTTTCCAGTTTGTGGCTACAATGAGTGAAACTGCTATGAACATTCATATATTACTATCTTTATGGACATATATTTTCATTTCTCTTGGATAAATACCTAGAAGTAGAATTTCTGAGTCATACGGTAAGTGTATGTTAATTTTTTTAATGTTTATTTTTTGAGAGAGAGAAAGAGTGCGTGAGAGAGTGGGGAGAGGGGCAGGGAGAGGGAGACAGAGGATCTGAAGCAGGCTCTGGTATGACAGCAGAGAGCCTGATATGCGGCTCAAATTCACAAACCGTAAGATCATGACCTTAGCCAAAGTCCGGTGTTTAACTGAGCCACCCACGTGCCCCAAGTGTATGTTAATTTTGTAGAAGGTGCCAAACCATTTTTCAAAGTGGTTATTACCATTTTACATGCCTACCACCATGTAAAACTAACAGTTCCAACTGTTCCAAATTCTCACCAACACTTGGCATTATCTATCTTTTTTATTTTAGTGGTATCTCATTATGTATTTTTAATTTTCATTTAATGATGTTGAACATCTTTTCATGTACTTTGTCATTCTTTCATAAATCTTCTGTGAAGTATCTGTACAGATCTTTTGCCCATTTTACAAATTAAGTTGTCTTCTAATTACTGACTTTCAAGAGTTCTTCATAGATTCTGGATATAAATTGTTTGTTGGTTATATGTACTGTGAGTGTTTTCTCCTAATCTGTGGTTGCTTTGATTGTATCCAGGAATTAATTTATAGAGATAATGGAGTGACCAAATGGAGAGATCAATACCAATAAAAGAAGTTTTATTACTTACAACTCCCAGTAGAAGGAGGGGACGCCACATCACACAGGGCTGCCCGAGCAGCACCGGAATTGATCAGGAGACAGGAGAAAAGGAGAAAGCTTAGCCCACAGCCTGCATTATAGTTTTCACAGGAAGAAATGGGTAAGGCAGGGCAGGCAAGTTTGAACAAGTTTAGGATTAGACAGTTTGAATAATTTTGGCAAACTCTGGGATATAATGGTGACTCTGGAGTGATTTAAGGCAAGGGAATAATGGCTTGGTGCCTGTTAGTAAAGATGGTGGTTAGGGATGTCTTTGGATTAGTTGTTTTGCGTAAGAAAGGCACACATACAGACAAGTGTTTCGCTGTTCCTAGGAATTAGTTAGCCCTGGTAGGCACAGGCTCTCCCAGCTAGCAAAACCCCCAAGGAAGCCAAGCATCATAAAATATAAAATATTAAAAACATGGTTAATACAAAGGTTTTATTAATACAACAGCCTTGTATCTTTTGGAAAACAAAACATTTTCCTTTTTATAAATTCTACCTTGGTGTGTTTTTTTTGTTTTTTTTTTGGGGGGGGGGCTTTGTTTGTTTTTTGAGAGAGAGATAGTGGGACTGAGAGAGAGAGAGAGAAAGAGAGAGAGAGAGAGAGAGTGAGCTAGAGTGAGCATGTGCACACACTCCTGAGCTCGCACCCAGCAGAGGGGCAGAGGGAGAGGGAGAGAGAGAATCCCAAGCAGCCTCCACACCCAGCCCAGTGTGGAGCTGAACAAGGGGCTCAATTGCACAACCATGAGATCATGACCTGAGCTGAAATCAAGAGTCGGACGTTTAACAGCCTGAGTGACCCAGGAGCCCCTGAATTCCACCTTATTAATTTTTTCTTCTTTGGTTCATGCTATTTGTGTCCTATCTACAAAATCATTGTTATCCCAAGCCACAAAGATTTTCACCTAAGTTTTCTTGTAGAGGTTTTATAATTTTAGCTTTTACATTTAGGTCATTGATCCATTTGGGGATAGTTTTTGTTTATGAAGATGATGAGTTGAAGTTTGTTTTTTTCCCCATAGACATGTCCAATTTTTCCAGCATGATTGGTTGAAAAAAATATCCTTTACCCATTGAATTTGTGAATCTGCTTCTGGATTCTATTCTGTTCCATTGATTTATATGTCTGTTCTTATGCCATTATCATACTGTCTTGATTATTGCATCCTTATAATAAGTCTTGAAATCAGGTAGTGTAAACTCTTCAATTTTTTTTTTAAGAACTGTTTGCATTTCCATATAAATTTAAAGTTTTACTGATTTCTCTTGGGGCGCCTGAGTGGCTCAGTCGGTTAAGTGTCTGACCTCAGCTCAGGTCATGATCTGAAGGTTCATGAGTTTGAGACCCGCATTGGGCTCTGTGCTGACAGCTCAGAGCCTGGAGCCTGCTTCGGATTCTGTGTCTCTTTCTCTCTCTGCCCCTACCCTGCTCACACTCTGTTTCTCTGTGTCTCTCAAAAATAAATAGATGTTAAAAAAATTATTGATTTCTATTTTTTTAATGTTTTATTTATTTTGAGAGAGAGAGAGTGTGTGAGCAAGGGAGAGGCAGAGAGCGAGAGGGAGAGGGAGAGGGAGAGTCCCAAGAAGGCCCCATGCTCAGCGCGGAGCCTGATGCAAGGCTCAACCTCACAAACCATGAGATCATGACCTGAGACGAAAGCAAGAGTTGGACGCTTAACTAAGACACCCAGGCACCCTTATTGCTTTCTATTTTTAAAGGAAGCCTTTTTGACTTCTGTTTTCTGGTCTGGCGTATAGAGAAGTCATTACTCCATCCGCATACCAAGTAAAAAGTAACTGCCTAAACTGAAAATCAACACCTCTTTTTAGATCTGTCAGAGAATTGGGGCAAACAGGTGCCCCCCCCAGGCTGGAGAGAAAGACAGGAAGATACAGAAAGTCCTACTTCCTGGAGTAGAAACCCAGAAGGAGTAGAAACTGATAATCAGAAACCTCTCAGGAACCAGTATCAGAAAAGAACTGGACCCCAGCACATTTATATGTAGAGCTGGAGGATCTGAGGCTTTCAGAGATGAGAGAAACAAGAAAAGTTGTCAAAACGAGAAAGAGTATCTTCGTGAGCAGTTTTTCAAATCGGCCAACTCATTAGCAGGTCATGATAGTAACTTAAGTGGGTTACAATTAGTATATATATTTTTAGTTTTTTAAATTTTTTAAAGTTTATTTCTGTTTTTATTTTAAGTAATGTCTACACCCAATGTGGGATTCGAATACACAACCCCAAGATTAAGTCGCATGCTCCTCTGATTGAGCCAGGCAGGTGCCTTAGGATATATATATTTTTTTTTTTAAATTTTTTTTCAACGTTTTTTATTTATTTTTGAGACAGAGAGAGACAGAGCATGAACGGGGGAGGGGCAGAGAGAGAGGGAGACACAGAATCGGAAACAGGCTCCAGGCTCTGAGCCATCAGCCCAGAGCCCGACGCGGGGCTCGAACCCACGGACCGCGAGATCGTGACCTGGCTGAAGTCGGACGCTTAACCGACGGCGCCACCCAGGCGCCCCAGGATATATATTTTTAATGAAATAGAATTAAAACTATCAGAACACATGAACGTTTTATTTCAATTATTTATGTACCCTGGCACTGGGTAGTGATAGAAGATGTATTTCTTTAAAAAAAATTTTTTTTAATGTTTATTTTTGACAGAGAGAGAGAGACAGAGCATGAGCAGGGGAGGGGCAGAGAGAGAGGGAGACACAGAATCCAAACCAGGCTCCAGGCTCTGAGCTGTCAGCACAGAGCCCGACGTGGGGCTCAAACTCACAGACCACGAGATCATGACCTGAGCCGAAGAAGGACGCTCAACCGACTGAGCCACCCAGGTGCCCTTAGAAGATGTATTTCTTATTGCGAGTGGCAGTCAATGCAGTTTTGAAGGTCAGTGTTCTAGAGCAACCCCTGTGGAGGGATATTTAATTCTGCCTGGAAGAGGTGACTTTTGAGTTGTTTTGAAGGAAACCAAAGTTCACCAGGCAGTAAAGGCAGAAGGGTATTTCTAGGCAGAGGGGCAGCATAGAGAAGGAGCCATGGGGGGTTACAGCCTGGAAGCAAGGATGAGGATAGCACGTGAGCGTGAGCAAGGGCCTATTTTGGTGTCAGGACTGAGTGCAAATTCCAGCTCTACCACTGTTAAGCTGGGAGGCCTTAGTACACAGAAAAGACTCAGTAAACAGGAGCTACTATAGTTTCTTCCCTCCCTTTCTACCCCCACAAAAAAGGTATGGGTCTTGGAGGCATCAGACCTCCACTGACTAAGCAGAGTTCAGTGAGAACAGACAAGAGGAAGAAGATAGAGGAAGGAGCCAAGAAGATCCTTATATTCACATGTAAACACAATAAGCTAGTCCCTGAGTTGGCCATCAGTCACTTTGTCTGCTAAAATAATGAATTAAAATTGCTACGTGGATCATCAGGCAGGCATCTCAGCTGATTCTGAAGTTGCCAAAAATTCATATTCAGTTTGGATACTAGAAAATATTATTCTTAGTATTAGTGTTGTAGCTGAATTATGTGCCCCAAAATCCATATGTTGAAGCTCTAACCCCCAGTACTCACTCTATGGCTATTTGGAAATAAGGCCTGTGAAGAGGTAATTAAGTTAAAATGAGGGTGGGCCCTAATCCAATCTGACTGGGGTCCTATAAGAAGGTAAGATTTGTACACGCGAAGAGAGACCCCAGGGATTCTTGCCCAGTGGAGACCATGTGAGGACACAGTGAGAAGGCAGCCGTCTGAAAACCAAGGTTTCAGGTGACACCTGGGTGGCTCAGTTGGTTAAGCATCTGACTTTGGCTCAGGTTATGATCTTGCAGTCTGTGGGTTCGAGCCCTGTGAGGAGCTCCGAGCTGACAGCTCAGAGCCTGGGGCCTGCTTTGGATTCTGTGTCTCCCTTTCTCTCTCTGTCCCTCTCCCACTCATGCTCTGTCTCTCTCTCAAAAATAAATATTAAAAAAAAATTTTTTTTGAAAACGAAGGTTTCAGGAGAAACCAAAACTTCTGACACTTTGATCTTGAACTGTAGCCTCAAGAACTGTGAGAAAAATGCATTCTGTTTCTGTGGTATTCTGTGATGGTGGCCTGAGCAGACTATAAGACAGCGGAGAAGTTTGCCCAACTCTTAAGAGAGTGACAGGAGACGTGGTTCTATCTTTTTTTTTTTTAAAGTTTATTTATTTTAAGAGAGAGAGAGAATTCCAAGCAGCCTGATGCAGGGCTCAAACCCATGAACAGTGAGATCATGACCTGAGCCAAAATCAAGAGTAAGTCACTTAACCAACTGAGCCAACCAGGCACCCCAAAGCAGTCATTTAAACTCTCTGCCAGTTTCCACCTCTCTAAACTAGGGTTGTAAGGATTAACTGAGAGAAAGTATGTAGAGACCCTGTCAGTACTGTCAATAATAGATGTCCTGTGAACAGCAGTTTCCCTCACTTCTCTCTCCAGATATCAGCTTTCTTGTCAGGAATTCAGAGGCTGAAGGGACTACATAGCTCCCCCACCCCCAGGCCTTTTCAGTTCTGACCTATGACTCTAACAACACTTTTAGGAAAAAGAGTAGGTTTCCTTTCTATAAGTCCAACAAGTATTTTTCAAAGTCCTTTCCTTCACTTTGTCTCATAGAAAAACACACCTCTCTGACTTAATGTGCATTTAACATCAATTCCAAGTAATCTCATGACACCCCAGCAGACCAGGCTAACACCCCTAAAAGTTTCCCAGCAGTCAAATCCAGCCAGCCATGCAAAAGCACATTCTTCAGTGGTAAGCCTTTTATATCCCCACACCCAAGCTTTAATTGAATGTAAACCCACAGTTTAGTATTTGATTCTGAAACCCACCTAAAACCCCCTTCTGTCTCCCCACGTTACCTGGCTGAGCAGTCCAGTTGCCCTCTTCTTGGTGGATCAAAAGAGGCTTTCAAAATAAAGTTTCTTCTTATTAGCTTCCTGTTTCACGTAAAGTGTTGTGTGGGTTGAATGTCTCCCTGCCCCTGTGGTAGGGGATTGTAAGAGAAGGGCCAACATAAGTTCCTTTTTTTTTTTTTCCAAAGTGTAGTAAGAATGGTTTGGATACCAAAACTACCAGTTCAGAAAGGGAAGATGAGAGGAAGTAGAAGTAGCAAGGGAAAGAAGCTGACCGTGAACCTTAAAGGCACAATAGCTAGAAATTTGCATCAGGAAAGGAATTACTCATGAGACACTATACTCATTATTCACAACACATCAGTCTTACTTCTGTTGGTTTATTTATTCTATACCTAAAATGAAGCAAAGTGTTTTTGAACATTTAATACATACTAATTTTTATGATTAAATGAGTGAGAGAGAAATTAAATGAGCCAGTTGGGTTGGCTAAAGCATATTGCTACTGCAGTCACAGCCACCCGTGCCATGGATCCCAGCAGACTTCTAGCACATGTATATTCTCAGTCATCAGGGTCCTGGGCAACATTAGCACAGAGCAAATGGATGCATGGGACATTCTCCTGAATGTGAAGAGCCATAGGGTCCACTGACACACACACGTTCAAACCTTGTGATCACAGACTCCAGGAAGCCAGTTGACATTCAGCTCTGGAAATGGAGAAATCTCCCGGAAGTTCTCTTGAAAATGACACTCTTGTGTAATCTTTCCTCTATCTTTGCACAAACTACCATGAACTTTTTATGTTCCTTAACTGCCTAGTTCAAAAAGAGCACTCTGACGTTCACCTGACAGAGGGGGATATCTAAGTTGTCCCCTAAATCATTTTCTGCATATCGGGTTTTCTATGGGAGTAACAGCAGTCTTTTCCAGCTTGTGAGCTGGGTTTCTCTGATGTGAGATCAAGGGCTGTGCTACTGGCTGGGTTTTAAATTTTTTGTGTGTGTTTATTTTTGAGAGAGAGAGAGAGGGAGAGAGTGCAGGCTAGGGGCAGAGAAAGGGGGACAGAGGATCTGAAGCAGGCTGTATGCTGACAGCAGAGACTTGGGTGCAGAGCTTGAACTCAAGAACCGCGAGATCATGACCTGAGCCAAAGTCGGATGCTTAACCAACTGAGCCACCCAGGCACCCCCTAAATTTTAATGTAAATGTATGTTCATGGAGAAAGAACTATATAAATAGTCTGGGGGGGAGGTAGGATTATGGTAATTAAAAATTTTCTTCTTTGCTTGCTTATCTGTATATTCTAATTTTCTGTAATAAACTCATATTGCTTTTTAATAACAAATTATATAATACAGGATAAAAAGGGGAAACGTAGAAATGTGGTCATAGTGGGCCACCCAAATGTATCAGGTCTTAACCCCTGGAGATCGTAAATGTTGTATTTTTGTAGATGTGGATCTTGAGATGGGGACCTAATCCTGGATTATCTGGATGGGTTCTAAATGTGATCACAAATATCCTTATAAAGGGGAGGCAGGGGAACCTGGGTGGCTCAGTCGGTTAAGTCTCCGATTTTAGTTTGGGTCTTGATCTCACGGTTTGTGAGTTCATGCCCCATGTTGGACTGTGTGCTGACAGCTCAGAGCCTGGAGCCTGCTTGGGATTCTGTGTCTCCCTTTCTCTCTGCCCCTCCCCAGCTCTCTCTCTCTCTCTCTCTCTCTCTCTCTCTCTCTCTCTCTCTCTGTTTGTCTGTCTCAAAAATAAATAAACATTAAAAAAAATTTTTTTTAAACTGCCAAACAGTTGTCCTTATGTGGTAGAGTTCCAGTTGGTCCACAACCTCTCCAATGTTTAGTATTATCAGTCCTGTTAAATGTAGCTATTCTAATGAGTCTGCAGTGGTATCTCATTGTGGTGATAATTTCCATTTCCATTGTGACTAATGATGTTGGGCGCCCTTAATGTGCTTATTGGCCAAATGAATATCTTCTTTCATGAAATATATCTGTGAATTTTTCTTCCATGTTTTAATGACAATGATTTATAAAAATTATCTAAGTATTCTAAAGACAAATCATTTGTCAGATATATGGATAGTGAATATTTCCTCCCAGTCTGTGGTTTGTCTTTTCATTGACTTAATGTCTTCAGCAGTTTTTAAATTTTGTGAAGTTCAAGTCACCATTTCTTTTATGATTTGTGCTTTTCATATCACATTAAAGACCTTTGTTAACACTAGTAGCAAAGATTCCATCTGCAGTCTTAATTATCCTTTGCCATGTAACAAAGCATAGTCAGAGGTTCTGGGTATTAGGATTGGACATCTTTGGGGGTCATTATTCTGTCTACCACATATGTCCATCATCAGAATGAGGAACTGCTCTTCTGTTGCAATTGTTGAGTGGTTTTTTTTTCCTTCCTTGTAGACATTTTTATTTATTTATTTTTTAATTTTTTTAACATTTATTTATTTTTGAGAGACAGAGAATGAGCAGGGGAGGAACAGAGAGAGAGGGAGACACAGAATCCGAAGCAGGCTCCAGACTCTTAGCTGTCAGCACAGAGCCCGACCCGGGGCTTGAACCTGTAAACCACGAGATCATGACCTGAGCGAAAGTTGGAGGCTTAACCTACTGAGTGCAATGGCTACTGCTTCATTTCTACCTTACAAATCTTGTGCAAACTCTTCTTTTGAGAAACTCTAGCCTAAAGGCATATGGGAAAATGGATTATAGGAATCATAGTTCCGACTTAACTGAGTGGACCCAGTACAAATGATCACATCCTTCAAATCTTTGCTCAAATGTGATTTTTCCCAATTTTGCCTATCCTGACCATCCTATTTTAAACTGCAACTCATCTCACCTCCTTTGTAACCCAACACCCTCCTAGATTGCCTTTAAATATTGGTGTTCCGGAGAGTATCACTCTTGGCACTCTTCTCTCACTCACTACACTCTTACTGGGAAATCTCTTCTGTATTCATAGATGCAATTACCAACCATACATTGATAATTACAATGCTACACTGTGCACGGGGTCCTTATTACCAAAGAATAACTAGACAGCTCAACCTGCATGTTCTAGTGCAGGTTGTTCAAAACTTTCCCTTCTCCCCAAACCAGGTCCTCTTTTATTTACTCACTTAATAAATAACACTTCCAACCACCTAAGCAAGAAACATGAAGTCACGCTAGGCTCTTTCCTTTTCTTCATTCCAAATCTCTTCTCCTTGATCACTAAGTCCTGTGGATTCCTAAACTTAATATGTCTCATATGGGCTTCCTCTTTTCCATCCCCAATGTTGCAACCCTCATCCACAATTTACTTATATTTCTGCAAAAGTCTCATAGAAGTCTCTGATCTCCAGGTGTGCCTAGATGGCTTAGTTAAGTGTCTGACTCTTGGTTTGGTTCAGGTCATGATCTCATGGTTTGTAGGTTCGAGCCCTGCATTGGGCTCTGAGCTGACAGTGCAGAGCCTGCCTGGGATTCTCTCTCTCCCTCTCTCTCTGCCCCTCCCCCACTCTCTCTCACTTGCAGAAATG